TTGTGTGTAACTGCTAATGCACGGACATGTTCGCTGAAACTGTCTCTGGTGATTCTTGTCGAAAAACGCCATTGCCCCACCATCCTGACAGTGTGGGCCTCACAGAACAAGCCCACATGAAAACATTCTAAACTTATTGTGCGAAAGGTTACTTTTTTTTCTTAAGTAAGTAAAAGGGAGAGAGGATTGCATCAATGAAAGCATGAAGCACTATGACTTTTTTAAAAAAAGTAGCCTGACCCTTAAATAGCCCATTTTTCTGGCAGGAAAGCCTTTCCAGGGAAAAATGATAGCAGTTATCAGTCCCTGGCAGATCTGTATTATTGTTATAAAATTATCAAGAGGAGAGTTTTTGATACATTTGTGACATCATCTACACTACAGAAGCATGAATATGTCACCACAATAAAGAGACTCTCAGATCTATTATAGGCCAGAAAATCAAATAATTAATTGACTTTAAATATATGCCTTCACTTGAACTATAAAGCAAAGAGCTGCAAAATAATATTAGGCACTACATTATAAGATTGTCAGTTTACAAAGCTTGTCAGCCTGAAAGTTCATTCTGTGTATGAAAATATGGAGCTGTATGCCCAGAGTTAGTTTAGAACTGGCATTAACTGAAAAGTACTTCAGTGGTGACTCAAAGAACTTGGGAATTTACTGTGGTAGCTATAAACCATCTTTCCTTCCACTAAGCCTTGATCAGCAAAGGGACATGGCTGGGTTCTTTGGACTAAAGGAGCCAATCACATCCAAGAATCTGAAGCAATCATGCAGCTATTTTCAAATAAGAAAAAAAAGACTGTAACTGGCAGCAGTGACATTGTTTCCAAATAACACGACATATACTCATTTATACCAAAACATCAAAACATGCTAGCATTAGGTACGGAATGTGAAGATGGGAACTAACTTTTCAGATTAAGGCTTTATAGACATAAGACAAGTAAGAGAGAATTCCAAGCACTAAATACTGGAAAATAAGAAACAGAATAAATGGCAAGTTATCATCACATTTTATTCTAATTCTTCTCCACTTATAAGACCTGCATGCTTGCAATCATTAAGTTATTCCAAATATTTTGTTTTCTATACAACAAAGAAAATTTAATTATTTTGAGACTCAAGGCTATTATTGCTATTTTGTAAAGGATGGGTAGAGCATCTTGCGGTTTGCTGTTATGAGATGGAAGTGCTATTCCTCAGTAAAGATGGAAAAATTAGCCATCAATGACTGCATATTAAGCTGCTACCACAAATTGCTGCTTTTGCACTTAGAAGATGCAATACCATAAGTGTATTCCAAGATAGAGAAAATTAGGTGGGAAGCAGATATAGTTAAAGAAATCAAATTCTGCTTCAACATTGTAATAAAACAACAATCCCAGAATTTCTCTAGCAAGAACACTCCCAAGAAGTCGCTTTTGGGTACTTACTGGAAGTGCTCAGCCTTGTATCATTTTGTCATGAATATATCAGTAGCTCAGGAGAAGAATGAAAAGGTGGAATAAAGCTTTAATTTCCACTTAAGATGATTAAAGATACTCTAACATTATGCAAAGAATATACTGTGAGCATTTACCCATTTCTAAAATCCTCACTTTACCTTTCTTGTGAAAATGTTAATTCTTTACTAGAATTTTAGACATAATTTTAGTTATATAAGTTTTTCTTTTTTGTTCCAGCATCTCACCTACTCATCTCATACTATTCTGGTATTCCATGTGCGTGTATTATATTCTTTGCATCAGAAAAGCCACAAAGATAAGCACCTGCCAGTCGAAAGGGGTGACTTTCACACAGGCCACGTAAACAGCATCAGGCCCTTTACTTTGGCTACCTTCCCCCTTGTGGGTTGTACAGAGTGAGCCTCAGAATTAAATTTTCTTGTTATCTGCTATGGTTACTGCCATTCAGTGTTGCTGCCTTTTCAATTACTGCAGCCGTGGACCTCTGCTGTTCCAAGAATATTTTTAATAGAATTTGAGTGAGCAATAGTCAGACAGTAAGAGACAGAGACAGAGACAGAGATCTCCCATTCTCTGGTTCACTCAAAATGCCTGGAACAGCAGGGACTAGGACAGGCTAGGGTAGAAGCCGGGAGCTGAAAACTCAACCCAGATCTTCTGTAGGTGGCATAAACCCAATTATTTGAGCTGCCACCACTGTCTCCCAGAGTCTGCATTAAGAGGAAGCTGGAGTCAGGAGCCGGAGCCAAGAATTGGACCCAGGTACTCTGATGTGGGATGCAGGCATCCAAACCTCCAGGCTAAATGCGATGCTCTTTTAGAATCTTTATTATTTGAAGCACTACAGTATCTGATACCCATGTGTTTCTGTTGTTCCCTTGAACAGTGATGGAGACTGAGCCATTTCCTTTAACCTATCTGTCCAGTCCCCTAGGAAACATATAAACATCATCATAGATCTTAAGAAACTAATTTCACCCATATCTGTCTCAGCAGCAGATATTAATTTCTAATTAACTCTACATACTACTCACAATGATGTGATATTCAGAACATGCTTTATTATAAGAAAATAAAAACTGGATATGACATAAGAAGACCTAGTTATGCATTCTGGCTCTCCATTTATAGGCTCTGAACTATGTATAAGACTTCCTCTTATAAGCCTCAGCTTTATAACACTTGTATATAAAATGAGGATAATAATCCCTATGTACGTTGTAGGGTGTCTTACCACTCAAATAAGATAATGCAGAGGAAATATCTGTGAGTTATAAAGTGCTATGCAGGCACTTGTTAATATCAAAATAATTACAAAATCTTGCGTCCAAAATATTAAGCCCTAGCTATGAATTAATATATAGCAAATGAAATTTCAATGTCATACACTATAGACACTGGTGGTGGCATAATAAGGAATTAAGTATGTAAGTCTGTTCTTATCCTCCCCTTCTGTTAAGACTTAGATTTTATGGATAGCCTTTCATGTCATATAAAATAAAGGATCGTACTTTAAACATATATTCACAAATAATTTTTTCATTCAATAACAAAGAATACTAAAAGAGATTCATTTCAATTTTAATTCAATTTTATATTTTCACCTACACTGAACAGCTACATAGCTGTGTTCCCTGTTTTCATGGATCCTTAATTCATTTAACAAGGTCAACGACATAGTTTTATATTTTAATTTGTGTACCTTTGTATGATAAATTGAGCTACATTTGTGAAAACTGTCAAATCCGGTCAAACCTTCATTGTACATCACCAGAAATAAGAAAGATGAGCACACAGTAGTATTTTTTCAGGAGTCATGTTGGTAATTAACAAATGTAATCAGGCAAACTAGGCACAGCTTGCCAGAATAAAGGATAGTCTCTGAGATTCAGGACGCTACTGATGCTTTTAAACTGGCCAACACAATCCAAATGCTGCTGTCACAGGCTTCCCTATTGGTCAAAGCAACAAAGCAGCACTCTTTGAAGCACTCTCCTAATCTCATCTCCAGGTTGGAAACATGCCCTCTCTGCAAATTACATTACCATGCCCTGTTCTTTAACAAGAACTCTATTAATTGCCTGATCATTTGAACAAATACTTGCTGAGAAATCTTTTAAAGTAAGTACTTAATGATTCTTTGCTAGAGACTGAAGATCAGAATGAAAAGAAAAAGAGGAAACAAGAATGGAATGCCTTGTCTCAGTACAATTATCTTTTCCATATGGCTATCATGATATCTGAGAACCAGAACATTCTCCAAACGTGCCAGAAGCCTTTGGAATTGAATGAAGACCAAACCACAATGTGCTACTCTGGAAGCTTCCATTGACAGCTGACTTGGAAGCAGTGCGATAGCATGGATTAGTCCCAAAATTTGGACTAGTTGTTTTTTTAAATTTTTGTTTACTTTTAAAGTTTCTGAGATTTTCACGATTTGTAAAGGTTTGGATAAAAAGAGAATCCCTAAGAATCATTAATTTCCTACCTACAGAGTCCCCAAAATGGTGAGGTAAGCACAGTGCAACATAAGGAGAAACTCTTAGTTACTTGCATGACCCTAGTCCCAGCATTAATGCCGACAGAAGTATCACCAAATAACATCATTATAACTCCTGAAAGAACCAATAACTATACATTTACCCAATAAAGATGGCAATGAGCAGAAGTTACCATTTTATTCCATTATACTCCACAGTTCTCAATGCACTTTCACACATACTTTTAATCACAACTTCTTGGGACTAGAAGTGCAGAATGTATTAATCCCACCTCACAGATGAACAAACAAGTTTAGGGGGAGGCTCAAAGATTTGATCAAGGTAGCAGCAGAACTCGAATTCAGGCCTTCTGACTGGGTCCAGTACTCTTTGCACTATACTAAATAACACCAAATCTTCTTCTGAGGTCCTTTATAGCACTTTGACTTTATGATCTACTTTGATCAGAACTATTTATGAAGTCACAGTGGTGCCTTATTAATATTGACAATGAAATTACCTTAAGTTTGTCTACTGTCTATTGACTACAAATAGCCTTATGAGAAATCAAAAATAAACACAATTCATCTAATGGTTCTAAATGTTGAGCTTTAACATTTTAAGGGAAAACAAAACCATTTACAAATCAATTCAGCAATTTTTCTTACTACTATCATTGGTTGCATAGTAGAATCATTGTCTTGTTTGTGTATGCTACTATCAACAAAATTTAGCAACCATCAGAAGCATATGTATAACTGTGCTAAAGTTGTAAAGAAACTGGGATTCAGGCAGATCCATATAGTATCAAGTTTGAGCTATCTCTCCCTAAAACACCAAAAGAAAATAGAATACCAGTAAGCAACACGGGATACGTTGGTCTTTCTCTGCAAAGTCCCACTCCAGACAAAAATTTTCTAACATTGACGAGACATACAATTTATATGTCCAAAAAATACATTGAGTTAGTTAAACATTTAACTTCCTGTCTACAGCGGATTAAATATATGTAGAGAGTCAAAATTGAAAAAGAATAGAAACTTACCCCTCCCCATGTTTTCTTGTGGTCTCTGGCACGTCCCTGGCTGATGATTCCCTGTACAAAAAAAAGAGCACATACACACAATCAGATTCACAGTGGCTGAGTCACTACATCAGATAAGCTGCAATACGCTGATGCGGTCAATGTGAGCATTTCACTTCAGTGCATTCCAATCCTGCTCCCTTACAGAAATGTTGTCTCCATCACAGACAGATATCTAATCTCAGAGGACAGAAACACTATTCTGGAAGCATGGACTTTCTGTCATCTTTGACCTTCTTTATCTGGTATTAGTTTCTGCCCTTGCCAAATAAAATCATAAATTGGTCACACGCTTATCTGTTAAGAAAGCAGTGATATCAACAAAAAAAATGGTGGACAAAAATACCAAAGGGCCTAGTGTTAATAACCAGGCTGGCATGTTATTAGTTTACCTGTCCATATATTCGCTGCAATATCTTTCTGTGACAAATCCAATACCCTCAACAGTGTAACATTTTCCTGAATAGTGTCAAACAGCAGTACCTCTAATCAAATTATCCCTGAGGCAAAACAGCCCACAGTTTTTCCTTTAAACAGTATGAATCAATGTCCATGAACTACCAACAACAGAAACTTCAGGGAAAACAAAAACAAAAACAAAAAAGCCACGTATTGCAATTGCACAGAGAAAGTATTCACAGGAGAATAGCAATTCTGGTTTTAAAAGCCTCCTCCCGTAACACCAGCATCCCATGTGCACACCAGTTTGAGTCCCGGCTGCTCTACTTCTGATCCAGCTCCCTGCTAATGTGCCTGGGCAGCAGTGGAAAGTGACACAAGTGCTTGGGCCTGTCACCCATGTGGGAGACTCAGATGAAGCTCCTGGCTCCTGGCTTGGGCCTGGCCTAGCCCTGGCCATTTCAGCAATTTGGGAAGTGAACCAACATATGTAAGATCTCTCTCTCTCTCAGCCTTTCAAATAAATGAATGAATGAATGAATGAATGGTATAGCATTTGCATGTAACCTATGCACATCCTCCTGCATACTTAAAATCATCTCTAGTGGCTGGTGGTGCAGGTTCCTGTCTAACAGCTCTTCTTCTGAGCAAGTTCCCTGCTAAAGGCCTGGGAAAAGCAGAGGAGATGGCCCAAGCGCTTGGGCCCCTGCCACTCATGTGGGAGAATCAGCAGAAGCTCCTGGCTCCTGGCTCCCTGGCCGTTTCGGCCACTTTAGGAGTGAACCAAGGGATGAAAGACCTCTCTCTCTCTCTCTCTACTTCTCTATTTCTCTCTCTTGGTAAATCTGCCTCTCTCTGTGTAATTCTGAATTTCAAATAAATAAGTTTTTAAAAATTATCTCTAGATTACTTACAATACCTAATACAGTGTAAATGCTATGTAAATAATTGTTCGACTATTTAGGGAATAATGACAAAAAGAGAAAGCCTGTCTTTGTCCACTACAGACATAATCTTTCGTTTTCTAGTATTTCCAGCCTGTGGTTGGTTGAATCTGTGGATGTGAAATCAGCAGATACAGAGGGCCAACTGTACACAAAAACTGATTCATACTATAACACTTCATTTCCTTATAAAGTTCAGTTATAGAGATACCAAACATGTATTACTCACTGTCATGTTCCCAGTCTGGAGTTAAGCACCTGAGAGGTAAAGCTACAAGATATCATCTATCAATCCATAAAGCAATTAATAACCTACATGAAGTTAAACAGAGACTGCTGAGGAATAAATATCGAACACTGAGATCTGTGTGACACTGGACAAATCATTTTCTACCTCAAATTCTTTACTAAAGGAGGGGTTAAACTATATGAGTATTTCCCAAATTACTATCCACAGAATGCCAAAAGGTGTGTTTTTCAAAAATATCTTATCAAATGAAATGTAGGAAAAGTTGATTTAAGGTTAAACAATTTTTTTTTAATTACAAGACTTTTCGGAACCTTTGAAACGCCAATGAGCAATGTGACAAAAGCACAGTCTCAACATGCTTGTCTGCGTAGTTTGTTTTGAAAGTAATCAGTGTTTCTCCGGGACCCTATTCTTTGAAGGTCATTTGGGAAACTAGAGGAAATAACTTCTAAAACCTCTTACAGCTTTGGAATTCTATTGTTTTCTAATAAGCTACTAACTATATGAACCCAAATTAACATAAAGTGAATTAAGAAAGAAGTCAAAGAGGCTAGATTCTCAGAGAATTTTGGAACTGAAAATAACTTTACTTATTTATTTCTAAAGATTTATTTATTTATTTATTTATTTGAAAAGCAGAGTTACAGGGAGAAAGAGAGGGAGAGACAGCCAGAGAGAGAGAGATCTTCCATCTACTGGTTCACTTCCCAAATGGCTGAAATGGTGGGAGCTAGACCATTCTGAAGCCAGGAGCCAGGAGCTTCTTCTGGGTCTCTTACATGCATATGGGGCCCAAGAACTTAAGCTATCTTCCATTGTGTTCCCAGGCACAGTAGTAGAGAACTAGATCAGAAGTAGAGCAGCTGGGACTCAAACCGGCGCCCATATGGGATGCTGGCTCCTCAGGCAGCAGCTTCACCTGCTACACCACAGCGCTGGCCCCTGAACTTTATTTTTTTAAATATATATTATTAACTTGCAAGGCACAGCCTCAGACAACAGGCAGAGACAGACAGCAAGAGTGACAACAAGAGAGCAAACTTCCATGTCCTTGTTCACTCCCCCAAAATGGCTGCAACAAAGAAGGCTGGGTCAGGCCAAAACCAGGAGCCAAGAACTCCATCCTGGTCTCTCACATGGGTGGCAAGGGCCCAAGCAATGGGTTATAATCATCTGCTGCCTTCCCAGATGACTTAGCAGGGAGCTGGATCAGAAGTGGAATCCTAGGACTCAAACCGTCACACTGACATGGGGTGCAGGCATTGCAAGCATTGGCTTAACTTGTTGCACCAAAATGCTGGCCCCTGAAATGAACTTGAGAAATCATTTAATTTCTCATCATCCTACCTTTTCTGAAAGTAGCAGACAGCTCTCAAAAACATCTTACACAGAACATTAATATATAAAATGGGTTAGGGCAGAACTCTGGGTTTGAATTGGGGTAGAGGTCTGCCTGTTCCATGCAGTGGACTTTCTCTGTGAGGCAGCCTGGATATACCTTATGAGAAACCTAGCACCATAGGAATTAGGGCTTGAAATCCAATGACCCCTGACCTATCAGAGGAAGCAATTCTGAGAAGGCTTTAGGAAAGACTGAACTCTTACATATACTCACAGGAAGTTCCTTCACTTTTCTCAAGCATCACCTCAAGTTTAACTGTAACCCCACATAAGATAAATAAAATGATCATTATGTAAATAGAATCATAAAATTTTTCTCACTCCAGAAAAAATCCTAAGAGAGTTAGATATTAAATTATAATCAATGTACAAATGAGAAGTGACAAAAAAATTCAGCAGAAAATGATATGGCTAAATTTGGATGTCAAGACGGTACCTCTGGCCAGCAGAAGGCAGAGGATATTTGAGGGATGGGAGTAACTTGATCAGGGACAGTGATATCAGAGATGCTAGCTAAATCTGGCAGGACGTCTTGTATTTTATTTCTGTTTATTCTTTAATATTTAATAAAGTCCTTCTGAAAAGAATCAAGTCCATTTTAGTTGTGTTGGGGGAACCACAAAGGAAAGGGCTGTCTGTGAAGCAGGAGCCAGCGTTTGGAAAGAGGAATTGCGTCCCCAGAGGTCAGCATGGTGGAGAAAAGAGCCACTCTTGGAGGCAGCTATTTTCCACAGGAAGATGAAACCAAGGAGGCAAAAATCAATACCACCTGTCAGCCACCGCGCCTGGCCTTAAACCTCCAAGATCAGAATCTTGTTTTAAAGAAGAATTTTCCTTACAGAGATGTGAAGTTCAAGGCCTGCTTCCCATATCACTCCAAACTTCAAACTCCCCCACTCCCAGGTTACCTCCCTGTTTTGTCTTCTGTTGTCTTGGTTTAGGCTCCTCTTTTCACTTTGATTGCCTGCTGCTTTCTCTAGTCTCTTCTTTCCAACAGCTGGCGAGTGAGTGAGTGAGTGATTGTGTGTGTATGAGGGAGAGAGAGAGAGATTTTATACATCTCTAAGCAGGAATGTTCCTCAATCTTGATTCTCAGCCAGGTCCCTATCCCAAACTAAACATTACATCTAAAGTAATCACAACACACTTAAGAACAACAAAGCAGCTTTTAGCTAGACATTAGGAAAGTTGAATAAAATAATCACTGTTCCATGGATTTATCCAGCCTAGCATTAAGCATCCTCTACAAGCAGATTCCACCTTCCTTAAGACTGTACTTCAGAGACTGGCATTGTGGCATAGCAGGTTGGGTCATTACCTTCAACACCAGCATCCCATACTGGCACTGGTTCGTGCCCTGGCTGCTCCACTTCAACCCAGCTCCCTGCTAGTCTTCCTGGGAAAGCAGCAGAGGATGGCCCCAAGTGCTTGGGCCCCTGCACCCACATGGGAGACCTGGAAGAAGCTTCTGGCTTTGGCCCATCATGGCCCTGGCCATTGCAGCCATTTAGGGAGTGAACATCCATTCCCCACCCCCATCTCTCTGTAGCTCTATCTTTCAAATAAATAAGTAAAGCTTCAGAAAGAGATTACACTCCAGCCAAACTGACCTCCATACTCATCCCCCAAATATTCTTTGAATTGTTCCAATTCTATGACTCCACTCACTTCTTCTGCTATTTTGGCTCCTACAAAAACTCTGTTTACCTTACAATATCAACACTGAAGCATTACCTGAGCAGGAAATAATATATTTTTTCCTTTGAAGTCTCATATAATATACACATAATAGGTAGCTTAAGGTGCTACCTCATAGAGATATGTATATCATATAGTATCTATTAGCCTATCTAATTCTCAAAGGGTAAGTAACTTGCCTTGATCTGTGTCCAGTCCATGAAGGGCATGAGTCATTCCCAGTGAGGGTTCTAGTGGTCTACATGAACCAGACTTAGGAGAAGCTCTTATGCCAAACACGTTTAAGCACCGTGCTGGCTTAAGTTTCCCTTAATATAATT